CTGAGACTAATCATTTTTTTTTCACCCTCTGCCTCCTCATGCAGATTGCTCCTTGGCTGGGTTTTCAAGTTCGGCAAGTCTCAACATCTTTTCGTCATATCGACGTTCTTCTAAGCTGCTCTGTTTTTTCCTTTTGCCTCCTGCAGGTTGCTTGATTTGCACTAAACTTGGAACATAAGAGCACACATGTTTCTTCTTACTGTATTTGTCTACACATTCTCTGAGAACCACTTTTCTTAAGTATCCAGCCTCTACAACGATGCTGAGTGTGTGGTGATAGCTATCACCAAAACCGATGGCCACTTTCTTTTCCTCGTCAATGAAAAAACCATAACTTGAAAGCGGATATTTCAGGTTCCGTATTCAGTGTCAAGAACTTGCTCCACAACCAACACCCTTTCCGCCTCGATCTTAGTCGTAATCCATATATCAACCTCATATGGATTACCTTCGTCATGAATAAATAAAACTGCAAGCTTCTCTTCTCTGACACATGATAAAGTCACATAGTCACCAACCACCGTCCTAAACGGAAAAGGCAGAAGCGGTCCAAATCTCTCTCTTGTAAAATCAAAACAGATTAAGTGACCGTCCAGTTCCTCCTCCTGGTCATCATTGAGTTCGTCTTCTAAGTTCAGTTTCGTAGCACAAAAGTAAGTGTTTCCCTTGAGAGAAACACCACGCTGATAAAACGTTATACGCCAGTTTGAAGGGACATCAAGGGTTGTCCATTAATCAGTGTCAAAATTGTATAGTTCATACCACAAAAAATGTGTACCGGATGTTCCATATGGAGGGATGCGATCATCAAAAAACCTAAGGAATTTGTGGCTACGACAAGATTTGTTCTCCTTATTCACGTATCAGAGAGCGTATCTGTACCTGTCCATATACCCGTAATCTCCCCGGCGAAAATATCTAGGTTCGATTAACCTTGTTTGCCCCAAATACGGATTCCAAACCACAACCTTAGACTTAGTGTCGCCTTTCAAGATGCATAACAATAAACCCTCGCAGTTAATGACTTGAGATATTTTGACTTGTTCGTCTTGACAAGTAAGTTTGTTCGTCTTGACAAGTAAGTTTACCTTTATGCTCGGTATATGGCTCTCCGTCCACAAAGAAGCTCTTTAGATAAAGATCAGAATCCATCATCATGATGATCTGAGACTCCCCTTCCCTTAAGGCTGTTTCTTTACCAAAGTGCATCTTTGAAAAGCTCCGACTTTTAGATAAAGAGTCCCACTTTTTGCAAGTTAAGCGCACTTTTCTCACAGATTTCGAAGGAATTCTACAGAGAATCTTCTCTAACAAACCTCTTGGAAGGTTGAAGATCGTCGTCGTCATTGTTACAAATTGCAACTAGGATTTTTTTTTCTTTCAACTGCAGAAAACCCTAGAGAGGCTTTGTGTGTCTCTGTAAGAATTGAAGACTCGAAAACCTATATATATATATTAATTTTTTTTTGGTTTTATCTATCTATTATCTTATATCAAAAGTTATTTTTTTTTATTACAATGATTTTTAATGTTGTCTTAAAATGTTTTAATTTAAACGGATATATTCACATAGCTTATTAATATTGTCTTTAAATGATATTTTTTTGAATCGGATATATTTGATCATGTTTTATAATTTGACAATCAAATATTATAATTTTTGTTTTTTTATGTTTTTTTAGATATTACAAAAATTCGATTGCTTAGTTTATTTTAAAATATTTAATTAATGGATATATCTAATTAGTTATTTTAGAATTTTTTTTATGGATATATAACAATAGAATATTGTGATGATATCACGTAAACAAATCAGTACTTTTTTGTTTTTTTAGTAAATTTACTTTACCGTTTTTTTTTGGTTCAACTTTTTTTTTTTTGGGGTTCAACCTTTACCGTTTGTTTATCTTTTTTTAAATCTATTATTTTCTTGCAGATATATTATATAAGCTCTTCTATCGTAGATTTATACATATTTGATC